TATTGTTGTGTACCAAGATGGGATCAAAGGAGTTTGGGTCTCAGTTATTTAAATACAAAAACTAATCAGCTGTTTACACGTAAATCTAGGGTTTATTATGATTTATCTTTTTTAATAAAACATGATTAGTAAATGTAAATCTGTGCTTTTGGTGCTGAAGGACGGACATTGTTGTCAAAATATTTATTTTATAACACTGTTTCCATCATAGGAGAAGAAGTGGAGGTGGTTGACGAATATAAATACCTCGGTGTTCATCTGGACAACAGACTGGACTGGAGACTCAACAGTGAAGCAGTCTACAAGAAAGGACAGAGCAGACTGTACTTCTTAAGGAAGCTGAGATCCTTCAATGTCTGCAACAATATGCTGCAGATCTTCTACAAGTCTGTTGTTGAGAATGTCATCTCTTCTTAGATCTTCTATAAGTCTGTTGTTGAGAGCATAATCTTTTCTGTAGCTCTTCTACAAGTCTGTTGTTGAGAGCGTCATCTCTTCTGCCATCATCTGTTCGGGCAGCAGCATCAGAGCCAGGGACCTAAAAAGTCTAAACAACCTGATAAAGAAGGCTGGTTCTGTTCTGGGGACGACTGTGGAATCTCTGGAGATGATGGTGCAAAGAAGGATTTTACATCAAAWCWAGAAYATTGTGGACAACCCTGACCATCCTCTTCATCAGACTGTCATTGAAAAACAGAGTGTCTTCAGTCGGAGGCTTCTTCAGTTTGGTTGTAATACAGACCGCTACAGAAGATCTTTCCTGCCCACAGCCATCAGCATCTACAATAAGTCTTTAGTTTAATGAGTTACTACAACACCTAATTTACCTCTGGGATCATTAAAGTATTTTTGAATTGAATTTCTAATTGGATACCTGGTTTCACAACTGGTCTTACACAACCATCCTGCTGGTCTGTTAGCAGTGAGACAAACAATTTSTTTCTCTCACACAGACTGGAAGACTGGGAGGGTTCTGACTGGTCACCTAACAGGAGAGTGTAGGATGTTAGTGACATCTACTGCTTTATAGACGGATCCCTTATAWAGGGGTCAGCAGGTGCAGGGGTGCTGATTCTGCACAACCATAGCAAGAGAGAGTATAGTTACCCACTAGGTGGTTTTGTAAATGTATCTCAAGCTGAGATATACGCAATCCATCAGTGTGCGGCATCTCTAAAAGAACTTMAGTGTATGCAGAAGGAAATATTCATCYTGACAGATAGCCAAGCTGCTATTAAAGCTCTCCAAGGGCCGCAGTTCACGTCACTACTGACTTGGGAGTGTGYCGAAGCAGTCAACCAATTGGGGAGAGATAATAGTGTTACTGTTAAATGGGTACCAGGACATACTGGCATTTATGGTAACGAGAGAKCTGACTACCTAGCAAGAGCTGGCAGTCAGGCCCACTTTAAAGGACCAGAGCCTGCTATGGGCGTTTCAACAACAATCTGCAGGACTGCCCTACAGGCATGGATCAGATGTCAATACGATGGAGGGAGCTGACGGATTGTTGACAGGTACGGGAACTGATAAA